CTAACCAAGAATCATTTTTGCAAAAAAACCTTTTTGTATGCCGTGCTGCCTGCAATACTCTTGCAGATGGTCTGGTGTACTCACTTCAGCACAGACGAATCAAACAGCCCCTCCATACTGAATAAACTGATAAAAGCAATTGATCTCATCATGTTCAGTTTGTGGGCTTGAATGACTTCAAAGGTTGATCCCTACATGCAGTCTTAAAATGTCTTATGTATGGTGGCGGACGTGCCTAGCTCCTCTTCTCTGGGCCATCTTTTGCCCTGGCAGAAACTAGACCAGATGAAGATGGATTTATGGGAACTTTGGAAAACCTATGTTTTTGGGGTATAGGTATCAGGAATGTTAGCGCATCCTTTGAAGATAGCCTCAAAAGGTTTCTGGGTGATGTTTTGTACTTACCTTTGGTAGTTACCTCTGAGTACTTACTTAGGAGAGAATGAATGCATAAAGAGGAGACTCTGCACTTTTCCCCTGCAAAGGGGAATTCCTTGATCATCTTTCTCCGGGTAGATTCGGGTATGTTGTTCCTTTTGCTTTCGTATTGTAAACCTACGCATCCTGTCCTCATTCCTATAGTAACAAGAAAGCTTTGCTCGGGAGTGCTGGCTTCTCTTCAGTGGTCTTTGTCTTCCCTCCTAGGAAACAGTTTGAATGTGTCAGAAGAGTCCCAGTCCCTCGAACTGCATCTGGCCAAGAGCCTGACCAAGTTGGTCTGTAGTATTTCTCTCATTAAAAGCCTGCTTCGTCCCCTCAAAAAAGTAATCTGTGAACAGTAACAAAGGATTAATTGTGGAGACTTGGGACTTGGCAGAAATGTGTGTAAATGAAGTGCTTTTTTGGAAGCTACATTGCCTGTCTTGCAGATAAAAAAGAAATGCAAAATATTTCAGTGTGTGTCAGTGGATTAATTCATTTGATTGCCATTTCCCTTCCTCTTCTCTTTGTGGGGAGGAGCACTCTGGAGATTGGAATTTTAATTGCTTGACCACAGTTTCTTATTAATGGTGCACCAAAAGGTTATGGATCATTAATTAATACTGAACATAAGGATCTCTGAGATTGAGCTAGAGCATCAAATGGATGAGTTTAGACAACTCTCAACTGAAATTACAGGCTATCAGAAAATTGAGTTATAATAACAAAATCATTAGAATTTTTTCTCACTCCCTGCATGTTGATTTCTGTGTTTGCAGAGTACATTCTGGTATTCTTACAGAATGTAGCATTTTTATATAAATATATAATATTTTTATATATATTAGACATATGTATCTGTTCTAAAGGCATATATATACACATGCCTATAGAATAGTTATACATGATTCAGAGTTGTTATTTAATTTTATTAAATGTTTTGAGGTTTTGATCCCTTAGGTAGTTTCATTGGCAATATATAAAAACAGTGTTCTCTATAGCCACTTTCTTTTCAGTCGGTACCTGGATTTGTGGTACTGTATCCAAAGGGAAATCTAGCTCTTGAGTGTAATGGTCTGAAACCAGAATATTATCCACATTATTACTTTAATGTCCAATAGTCTGTATCATATTTTTTCTGATTTTAAAACGTGATGATGGAAGTGAATTGTATAGCTTCAATTATACATTAACTTTGCTGCATCCAAGATTCTCAGGTCATGCAGTGTGGAATAGGAATATGCCTATAATACATACTGGTATCAGCTTGTTTTCTACTATATGGATTAAGAATTGGTTAATGGACAGACTGCAAAATGTAGACACATGTCGGATCAGGATAAATTGCTGTGTGTGTAGTAGGGTTACTGGTGCATTGGTATAAAAGAGTGTTCTGCGATATTTTCATCCAGAGTTTAGAGGTAAATAGGAAATAATTGCTGATAGAACTTACGAATCATCTGAACAGCGTGTGCCTTATTTCACCTAAATTCGTATACCAGACTTATGGACATGTAATTATGGATGTTGATGGGGCAAATGGAAAACAGTGGCTCTGAAATTTAAATAATGCAAAAAATTATATAAATGGATCAAGTTCTGCCACCTGTTCCACTCCCATATTCCATTTGTGCATTTATATGTATCCATGTGGGGGCTTTTAAAATATGAAATACATTTGAATATGCAAGAGACATAAAGTCTGGTTTGTAAAACCCAGCAGAATTCAGTGATAAATCTGGAGAGATGTGCTTGTATTTAGTGGGAAGTAGGGAATAATCAGTAGAATACTACTAAAATCCTTTTTTTGACAGAAAACCTGTATTGACTTTATTTTTTAATTCTCCCATAGAATTTTCTAGGAAGATGGTGTTCAGCAGTTTACCAGTATTTTAATGGGTCTTTATTCATGTAAGTCTCTGAGGCAGAGCAACCATCTCCTGTTGAGAGTTAGTAGAAACTAGATGTCTGGGAGTTCAGAAGTTGGCAGGAGTTTTCATAGGACATTTTCCCTCAAGGTAATTTTCTTGGCTTTTGCTGTGTTTGAGACTCAGTTTGTGGAAGGAGGGTTGTGTTTCTGCTCTCTCCTCCTGCCCCTGCTTCTTTCAAGGGAGTTTCTGAAACAGTGCAGCTGCATGCCACGAATTCACCAGCGCGTTGCATGGAAACTTGGCTTCTTCGCACATGGAAGGGACGGCTCTTTTCTTCTGTCCCAGTCTCTGGGGAATTAAATTCACATTTTGTGTTCCTGCTTCGTATTAGAGCCAAATTTTTCACTTCAACTTCCTTCCTCCCCCTGCCCCTCTTTCCTTTCTTTAATTAAAAGATGCTCAGGTCGAATGCATATAGCTGCAGCTGAAAAAGGATGAAAATAGCACAGATGAAATAGTTACACTGTTGAGACTTGGACCTTTATTTAGCATCACATTTTCTGGCATGTCACTGTAATGGAGTTCAAAAGCTGACTGGATTGCTTTTTTCAACAGATTAATTGATAATCTCTAATTTTAAAGGAAACAAAATTTTGTTTGCAGTCAAATGTGATTTTTACAGCTTCAGCTGTTCCTCTCATCTAAGTTAATGACAAAGTCATATTCATTTGGTGTAAACAGGAGTAGATTCACCACATCTGTATGTGTTCAGTCTTCCTGTGTCCCAAAGTGTATGAGTACATCCAAACTGAGATGTCAACTGCTGAAACCAATATCTATATGACACTGGCTAAAACTGCTTACTTTCAGCACCTTTGAAAATCGAGTAGTTTATAGAGTACCGAAGGATGAGCCCTGGTTTGAGAGTTAGGTGACACAGGTTTTTAGATGATAGACTCCAGGTAGGTGTTACAAAAAGATCAAAAAATCAATCTCAATGCTTTTTACCTTAAATAGTTTCTGGAAGCATGGTAGAATCCCATGCCAGCTCTTCCCTGAGCAGGGAAGAAATTAATTACAAAAATTACTCAGAATAGTATGGGGTAAAGAAATCAAAACAGCAGTGTTGGGTAGGACAGCTTTTCTGATAAATCACAAATGATCCTTCTCACAGAGGAACATCCTGTAAAATACCTAAACACAGAAGTCCTTTTATTTGAAGTTAACAAATGTTTTAAAAAGGAGAGAGTGAGGAACAGCAATACATACACTAAGATGTTTTAGAGAAAAGATGGCAATAGATGCTCACAGAGCCTGGACTCTAGTTTTGCACAGCTATCTCTCTTGGTAAAGCTGTTATGAAGTGCCTTGAAAATAGTCCTGATCACCTTATCTGCGGTTTTGACAGAAACATCGTTGTTCTTCTCCTCTGAGTACTTCCTTTGCTTTCACTTTGAACTTAAAAACTTTAGTCTGCTTTCCCTAATTTAACCTCCTTCACCACAATGCCCTTTTGTAATTTACCCATCTTTTTGTTATTCAGTCATTCCCAGCTTCTTCAGCTGAGCTAACACAATGGTCTGCACCTTTTCCTTGAAATCTTCTCTCACGGCATTTTAATAACTTCCCCAAATAAGTTCACAGTGCTCCTGCCCTTTCGATTAGTGTCGTTGCTGTTTTAGTCATGGGTACAATCAAGTGGCAATAGCCAGTTAGGTAACCACAGCTGTGTACATTGGAGAGATATATATATATTTAACAAGGATTCTTAAATGTGAGTTCTTTTCCTTGGTTGAGCTCCGTCAGGTTTGTGAAAGAGAAGACGATGGTGCCTGGCAGATTTGCCAAGCACATGAAAAGCAAAAGCAAAAATGATCTTGAACTGCTGAAATAATTCAAAAACAAAGAAAATGTTGCAATATTTGTCTGCATAAAGAGGGGAATATAAAGTATGAATGTAAAAGAGGTATTGATTTTTGCAAACATTAAGATAATTTGGGAATCCTACATTCACTTTTCCTATCCATTCTGGAAAAAAGCATTGGAAGAGGCTGAGAAGAGATCTAATCTAATACCTCCACTCTCACGAAAGGCTCAAACTCAATTTTATTTCCCCAAGAGAAGGCTAAGAGGTGAATTGTTTTTTGTTTTCTACATATATTATATATGTACAAGTAGATCAGCTAAAACTGCTTCCCAGCAAGCAGAAATAGCTGTTGAGATCAGTGTCAGGACACTGACAAGCGTGAACCAGAAGCGAGATGTGAGTTTGCAGCACTGGGAGTGTCGCTGGAACATTTCAGATAGGGGAAGAATAGATTGACTGTCACTTGGTTGAATGTCATTCTTAAAAACTTCCCTATACTTCAGCTAGCTCATGGCTTCTGTATGTAGGAATTGCTGCATGAGGACTTATAGCCTGTCAAATAGAGTTTGAATGGCTGTCCTGGCCTTAGACTAGCTATATGTTCTTATTTCGCCTATTCTGTTCTTTTCCCTCATTTTGCTTATTGCACCATACTGAGATTGGCAGCTGTCAGATCTCCATCTCCTTTATTTGCACAGCTTCTAATGCTGTGATGCTGGACGAGTAGAAATAACAAACAGTGCTGAGGGTTCATACCAGTTCAGAGAACTCACATGGGATGCAACTACTGAATATCCATTTATTTATTGCTTTCCTTTCTGTTTTTTTTTTCTTTTCCATAGTGAAATACATGAGAGAAGCAACTCCCTATGTGAAGAAAGGCTCCCCGGTTTCAGAAATTGGGTGGGAGACACCTCCACCCGAATCTCCCCGCTTGGGTTGCGCCTCTGCTGACCCCTTGTCGCAGCTTTCTCTCTCCATCCACAGAGACAAGAAGACAATACCGCTCAAGATGTGCTACGTGACGCGCAACATGACGGTGTCAGACCCCGAAAACAGGTGAGCAGGGGATTCACCTGGGGCTGGGATTTTGCCTTCGCGTTGAATTGTTGTTGACCTTTTCAGCATTGGGGTTGGTGAGCAGGAGCTGGTGCTGGGGTCTGGCCACACACAGCAACCCAGCAAGGGGCAAACGAGCCCTGGTTTGGGAAGGGTGGGTGGTGGTATCTGAGCCGCGTGCTGCTGGGTTCAGCTTTTGGGTTGTGCTAGATAAACTCTTCAGTGCGGTAATCCAACATTTTTATTAGAAATAGGATCTCAGGAGTTTGTTTTCATCCTGATTAAGTGTCTGCTTTTGAAGGAAAAGACACTGTACACACTAATTGGTTACATCTTCCGCACTGGCTTAATCTAATTCCACTAAATTGCATTTTCTTTTCATTTTTAATGACTATTATTTTAAGAATGGCCTGTTTTGTCCATTCAGTTCTGGGCATTAAAGTCAAGAATAGAAGAAGAGTTCCACTTACAAGGCATTAATGGGGAATTTCTGTGACTTCTTGTTTTTTTTCATAATGTTAAAAATAGGATGAGCTTTCACCGGCCCTTATTTATAACATATGTGGAACAGCTGCACACCAGCACAGTCTCTGATCCTGGCTGTAACAGCTGCTAATAAAAAAGGGACCAGTCAAGTCAGTAATACAGACTGATTCTTCCATCCAAATAATGGCCTTTTTGTTTTTCTGCAGTGTGCTGGCTTGCCCAGAAGCTGGGTGCAATGCGTTTGATTCTCAGCACTTAAGTACAGGCATAAATAAAAGTTACATTTTCATTTGCAGAGAGGAATGAGGAGAAGAGGGGAGAGCAGAAGGGGCTTTGGGGAAGATGGGTTTACTTTGCTTCTGCTCTTCATCTCACCGAGTGGTTACCACCATAGTCAGTGATAACTGACCACTACAGAAGTGCAGTTGTGAAACAGCAATTACCCTAGCAGTCTTTATCAAGTTTAAATCTACATGGTTATTGATATTGGCCACTTTTTTTCACATAAATCTGTATAGTTTAAGATGTTGAGGTTTCACAACTGTATCATGAGCCTGAGAGTTTGTTGTTCTCTCTGTCATGGAGTGTATTTTAAAAATACCCATGCATGTCATGTTGTTTGAATCAGCACAATGTAACGATGCTTTACACACATTGGCGTCATTCTTTCTGCATGTTTCCCTTTTTTTTTTTTTTTTGACTGTATTGTAGTTCTCAGCTTCTGTCACTCTCCTGGTCCTCAGTTTTGTTTGAAGGCTAGGAGGACTGATTCAGAGGGACACACTCTCACTGCTCATGATACTTCTGTGATGGAGCTGACTTCTTTGAAGTGTGCTACAAATGTGTGTGTTCTTAGGTGTTACTAGGAAGTAAGGCGTGGGAGAGTCATGTTGCTTATTATCATGATTTTAATTTCATGTTGCTGTCATTTCCTGTGGAAAAAATGACTTCTGATTTTTGCTGTAGTCCAACACAGTGCAGTGTACAGTCTAAGCTGGATTTTTCCATCCAAGCTCGCAGTACCTCACCATTGTGCTAGCTACAGTGTAATAGTAGTATCTCTTCCATTCACCTCTTTACCTTTTTCAGGGTTTTTTAACAATTCTGAATACTGGAACTGGTATTTCCCATTACAAGTACTATTACAATGCAGCGACCCTTTCCCACAGGAACGTATCCCAAGATAGTATCTGATTCCACAAAAGTAATTTTATCTTCATTCACAGCAGAGCCCAAACCATGTCCTTACATGCTTATGACACTTCTGTTTCATAACCCAGTGACCTGACACACATATATCTTATAACTGATGGCATCACTTTGCTGAATGGCTTTAGAAGAGCATTGCTGGCAGGTTGCCAAAGCATATGCTGACCATAAAGGGACTCCTTTGGACTATAGCTGAGCTAATGTTCATCTAACACCAAGCATGGACATAGAAAGCATAGGTTTTCCACTGCAGATATTTCTCCAGTGCAGGCTGGACATCATGTCATAGTGGGGTTGTGGGACCAGGCTGAACTGGTTAGATATTCAGCATGAGCAAATACCTGTGTTAAAGGACCCAGAAGGAAATACCTGCTTGTTGGCACTGAATCATCTCCAGGTCTTAAAAGATGGGGTGAAATGTGGGTTTAATGGGCAGGGAGGAAGTTACACATTTGATTTTTTTCACTAGAGCTGGTAGCCCTGCATAGGATTTCTGCTTCTCCTTGAAGACTGGCCCCAGTTGAGGGATTCCTGAGTCTGTGTCTACTCTCAGGTGGTTTGATGAGCCTGTTATTTCAGAGCAGGAGTGAAGTTTGGTGCTTTCAGAGCCAGCGGTTCTCAGATATCTCCTTTACCTGACCTGTTATGGGTTCACTCTGAAGGAGTGTTCTTCTCTGTTACCTGATTAAAAAAGCTGTAAGATAACAAGGAGAAGATCCTTAATACAAACCAATGCCAAACTTAGTGTGTAGGAATTTTTTTTTAATAGTACAAACATGGCAACAGCAGAAAAGATGCAGAACATCTTAGTGGCATCTATGTCATTCTCCTCTAGACACAGGGGCCATTGTTATATTTTAGACTGGAAGAAACTAGGTTAAAATAATTACTACTTAAATCTGTTGTTTTCATGCGGTTTTACTGTTAAGTGTCCTTCTTGGTGGCAGCATTAAAGGTTAATGTCAGGCCTCACAGAGGACCATCCCCTCCCAATGAAGGGACATGTAGGAATGGTCAGAGCTGGTAATACCAATAAGCAGTAAATCTTACTGCAGTATAAAAAGCCTTTCATCAGTTTCTGGTGGTGATACTATGGAATAGGAGAAGAAAAAAAAAGGAAAAAGGTATCTGCAATTTGTTCTGTCAGTGCTTTTAAAGTCCTGGGGCATAATACAAAGGTACCTCTGTACGCAGCACAGGAGACACGACATCGCCTGGAGGAATGAAGCCATGCTGCACAGACTGAAAATGTTTTCTCATCTGCTTTTGAAATCACCCTAAAATCTTGCTTGCACTTCATTCAGCCAAAGCCAGGAGGAGTGGACCTGATCCTGCCAGCACTTAGTGTGCACCGATCACGTTTTTCCAGTGGCAGGAGTCCAGAGCAGTGTGATCCTTACAAGGAACTTCAGCAGGGATCCAGTCTTAAGGATCGAGTTACTCTTTGGCAGGATTTGGCCCTCTGATGGAAAAGGTTTGCTTTGATTTTGAAGCTAGGAAAAATGAGCCAAGACAAATTCCCAGCAGCATGGTGCCAGCTGCCAGCTGCAGTCAGTGGCAGTGCCGCAGCAAGTACGGGTGCAGTTTGTAGACTTCACACCGAGGACATGTGGAGAAACAGATAAGGAACTTCCTTGTCTGTTGTCCATTTCAGAGTTGGACCAAGAATTACAATCAGAAAGGTAAAATTGAGCAGGTCCATTTTAAAGGTGGCAGAGGAACTGTCTGGTATCCATTCATTCTGGGCACTGCACACCGAACTTCATCTGGGAATTACTTTAGCTTCCTGGGATGACAGGGAGGTGCAAGGCAGACTGAGACCTGTTTACTCCAAAGGCAGCTATAGACTTAAGCTGCTTCATTACTTTGATTAATTTTTTTTTTTTTTTGGCATTGGGAAGTACTGATTCACTGAAAGAAGTGTTTGCAAGATTTATTGGAAAGCTGTTACTCCTCAAACTGGTTCCTTTTGCACACATGCTTTTTTAAAAAAAGAAATTCTTACATTATTTAGTAACATATCAGTAATGCACAGTAACAGAATTAGTGAGATTTAACATTTTGAATTGTAATTGGTGTGTAAGCATGTAATTTATGCAAGCATGAAATAGCCCTGTGTGATTCTGAAATCACATTTCAAAATCCTAAATATAAAACAAATTCTGGTGAATTTGCATGTATTTACTTTGTTACAATAAGGCATGAAAACAAAAGTTGAAGCCTCTTTATAATAAAAACTGAGTTTCAACCAGATTTAATAATGACATAGTAAAAACTAGTGCTTGTGCCAAAAAACTTAAGCCGTGAATACTGATAACAAACATAAGAATTTAGCAGAAGAGCGTGAAGATGAAATAAAAAGACAAACATCTTTAAGTAGAAGTCAAGGATCTGTGACACTAGTATAGGACAGCACTGCCCAAACGTTGACTTCCTGAATGTTCTTCTGATGCATTTTCAGCTGTGAGGCTGATTGATTATATAGGTGATGTCTGGAGTACTTGTAGAAACTCCATGCCTTTTCAGTAAAACACTACAAAAGATGACTGCATGTGGTTTGGGGCCTGCCAGCTTTCCCAGTTTCACTGCTGATCCAAAACACAACTGTTTTTCTTTAAAAGGACTACAAGACTTGACATGTTCAGACTGGACATTAGGAAGCATTTCTGTACTGAGAGGGTGGTCAAACACTGGAACAGGCTTCCTAGAGAGGTGGTTGATACCCCAAGCCTGTCACTGTTTAAGGAGCATTTGGGCAATGCTTGTAATAACATGCTTTAGTTTCTGGTCAGCCCTGAAGTGGTCAAACAGTTGGACTACATAATCGTAGGTCCCTTCCAACTGAAATAGTCTAGTCTAGTCTATTCTGTTCTATGAAGGAATGAAAGACATTTAGCTCCTGCACTTCTTCAAGGTCATGTTGTTATAATTTAAGGCCGACTGGAGGCGGTGGGAAGGCAAGCATTAGGCAGTGGAGAAGAGTCTGGACGTCTTGTTGATGAAAGTGTGGGCTGGCTCATGCCTCCACCCTGCCTGTTTCCTGCTTGGTAAACAGGACCAAACTTTGATGTTGCCAGGCAGGAGCAGTAACTGGTATATAAAGCAAAGGCTGGATTCTCCTTGAAGAGCAGGGTAGTTTAGGTGTGTGGCTTTGCAGCCAGGGTTTTTTCCCTGCTGATGAGGGAGCGGATCCCCTGATTCACGTACCTGGTGTGGGTCTCACAGAGGGCAGGGCAGTGCTGCGGAGAGTGACCACAGTACCAAGAATGAGTTGCAGCTGCTCTTGTAGAGCATAGGTCCCATTT